ATCACACCGGTGTGATCGTACGCTTCAGGGACCAGCCAAGACTGATCACACCGGTGTGATCGTACGCGTCATAGGGTTAATTAATATGTTATTCTAGCTGCGCATGTAACACGTCCGAAAGAGGGCATGTCTCGGTTCAGTGGGTCAGTGGTGACCGATTCAAAATCGTTTCAACCGATTCACTGAAAAGAGCAAACTTGGACGATTCGAACATCGATAGTTCGTGAACGTTTCCTTCCACAAAGCTGTTCTGGGGCGGAGGACGAAGAGTGAGGAACAACAAAACAACATTTTTAATGTTGTAGTGAAGTGCGTAAAGATTAGTCCTAAAAACTAGATCCCGAATGTCTGAGAATCATTCAGTGTGAACAGCGAGCTGGGTAAAGAGCGCCAGTGATCAATTTCTAACAAGGAGACGAATCTATCGGGCTGCCCCGTTAGAGACTCGCGGGGAGACGGTGACACACACAAATGTGACAGCTGCAAGTGAACTGGAGCTCTTGAAGCTTTATAATGTTTAGACAGTTACACAGTCGAACATAATGTGCCAGTCATGTGTTATATTTCTTTCCCAAACATAACGGATCGCGTGGAAACAACTGAGTTGCGATGTCCTGATTGGAGGAGTGTTGGTTGCCATGGGAGTGAGTTTCCTGCGTGCGTGGCAAAAGCACAGTTGTCTTCTGGCCCACTCATAATAACATGCATTGATATGCATATTAATATTTGCACTGCATAATTTTCATAAATAATAAATAAAATACTGTTGTAACATTGCTTCAATCCGAGATGTACGATGTATAGGCTATTTAAAAAATATTAGGATTTTTTTTTTACCTGCATTACTGGAAAGATTAAGAAACGTCCAAATCAAATAAAATCACGTTAAGTGACTGATTGTAGGACGCCTTACACTCAACATCCTCAGTAACTACCGGTATTATCGATCTCAACCTTTCAGACTCCTGCCCTGATCATTTAACAGCAGAGCGCCTTACAGAATTTTATATGCTCATCAACAGCGCCATCTACTGTCCAATCATCACATCATAAGACGCAATACGACTCAACTACACGTTTGAACGGAAGAAAAACATCAACGGGGGAAAACCACATATTATTTTGATTCAGTAATGCAAAGTTACTCTGAAAATAAAATGCTAGAAAATACTTTCACCCCTTCTCGTGTCAGTAACTTGCACCTTTTAGTTGAGCTAAATAACCGTGGGTTCTCTGAGGTGCGCAAATGTGATTCAGTCCACCTAAAAATTCGGTTTTAATATTTAATTAGGGTAAATATTATGAGAAATGTTATTAAAATTAAAACCTGTAATCTTTAAAGATACACGCTACAAAACTAGTAATACAATACGGGATTAAGACGGGATAAAGAAGACTGTGAGAACGAAGAGTGAATTAGTAAAATAAATATGCGATAAAGAAAGAAGACGCTAATGCGTTTGATAACCCGCATCTTTATCTGCAGTTCAGCACCTCGGACAGCTCCACAAACTGACAGCCCAGAGAAAAGTTAGACAAAACAAATAGACAAAACTTGAACCTGAAACCAATAAAGCCCTCTAAAAGTAATACACAATGAATCCAGCAGGTCACTTTCACTACTTAGTATAAAATTCTACATATACCTTAAAACCAAAGAACCAAAAAAGTGAAGAAAAACCTTACCCGATGTTGATTTTCTGAGAGGAAATGTCATATTTAGCAATTAAATATTGGAAAGAACAAAGCAGGAAGACAGTGGTGATTCAAGCAGCAGCAAGCAGGAGGATGTTTTCAAAGTTTTAACCATACTATAAGAAATCCTAATGGAACAGTCGAGTGGCCATCAAGGCGGGGCCAGCTGCATTCAGAAATCATTAATGGACATTAGTGACTAGCCATTACGACTTCTAAAGCGGTCATTAAAGATTCATTGGGAAGCGCTGTTGATCCGGCGAACACAGGGCGTGTGTTCACTAAACTGCAGGGCTCTGGGTCAAAATTGCAGGGAGAAAATCGAACATTGTACTTCCTACTAGAGCAGAGCTTTCGTTCCTCTCACGTTACAAAGAAATGGCTGTAAAGTGATCCTTTAATGCGTCGCGTAAACCAGTTATACCAGACCTTCCATTCTCCACTCAGAAGCATCAACGAGCATCTGCAGATAAACGGCAAACATTAGCTGTGCTTTTCCCTTCTGTTGTTCTCAAAGTGTCTGACAGATTTAACAGCGATCTAAGCATCCAGATAAAAGAGATTCAATACAATTCTTTTAATAAAACAGCTGCTGGTAGTCCAGTAAACTTTCACGATCTTGACAAAACTATTTGAAATAGCAGGATGGACTTTAATATCAATTCCATTCCATTAATAGCAGTCTGAAGATTTAAACCACCCAAGGTTTGCATATTTATAAGCATGAGCAAATTAATGTAGTTAGACTGATGATTGAACAAAATAATCAGCCGTTGATTGTCACAAAACAGCTAAATATAACAGTCACAATAAATATGTTTATTATGACTGAAGTAGAAAATGTTAAATGAGCCAGATCTCAGGTGATTCTCTAAAACATCACTGAAAGTGAAACCAATAAACAATCATTTCTGACCTTCAACAGCACCTTAATTTCAAGTGTATTAATAAAGGCATCAGTGTCTGTTATACCAAAGGTAAATGCAAAAGTAAGGATATAAAA